ATATATGCCTTGTGAAGACCTTCAGTGTCAGTAAATTTAAACTTTCTGCTTTTTAATATTGAGCATCTCAGAAATTAAGCGTTTTCTATAGCAAGGCTCTTCATCCAAAATTTTAACATTGTCCCATTGGAAATCATGATCATACTGCAGCCTGTGCTCTGCAGTATGACAGAATGGACAGAAGTGTTATGTCTAATATGATTACGATGTTCTGTAATTCTGGTTTTCAATTGTCTGCCCGTCTGTCCAATGTACGACGCATCACAATTATTACACGAAATCTTATAAACTACATTGCTCTTAGATGTATAGGGACAAATATCCTTTTGTACTTTAATATATTTACCCATTTTATTAGGACTATGAAAAGATACCCTGATGTCGTTTTTATTGAATCGTTTAAATTTTTCTGTGTGAAAAGGAATAAATGGTACCGTAAGCCAAGATGCAAATTCATTCATTCGCACAGACATTGTCAACCAAATTTTTATGTACTACGTGTTTATTTTTAAGTAAATTTTTTTATACGTTGATTAACTGTGTCAAAAATAAAAGTTAATGAGTAGTTATTATCTAATAAAACGTTAATAATAAATGTCAAATTTTTTATGTGAAACATAAAGTCAGAAAGTAAAAAAGTTCTGTCAATTAGCGAAAAAATTGTACCTTTCTTTTATGCAATTGGATGATTTGAGTGGAAATTTAAAAGTCTCCCTGAGAAGGTAAGTTTGCGGTACCAATCAAAAACGAATCAATTCTTATTAATAGATATAGTAGTATTCAAAAAATCTAATTTTTCTTCCTCTATTTTTATAGTAAATTGAAGACGTAGATGAAATGAATTAAAGCGTTGTAGCCAAATATCAATTTTTGAGGGAGAAACTGCAGTACAAATATCATCTACATATCTGTAGTAAAATAAAATGTCTACATTCAACGACATCAGGGACACCGTCTCTGATCTCCTCCATTACTAGGTCCGCTATTAAGATGATAAAGGAGAGCCCATGGGAGTGTCGAAGCTTTGCTTATAAATTTTATTGTCAAATGAAAAAAAGGTGGAATCTAAAACAAACCGTATCGCTCCCAGAAACTCATTCTTAGGCAGAGAGTATTCCTTAGAAATGAAACTCCATTGTTCATTCACACAATCAACCGCTATATCGGAACATTCATAAAAAGTGAGATAACATCCAAGGAAATCAAATTATTTTTTTTAAAAATCAAATTATATTCATCTGTAATGTATAATTTTTTTAATTATCAACTAATTGGGAGCTGTTTTTAATGTAATAACTATCCGTCTAAGGAATAATAGTCTTGAATAATATTATGTATTGCGCAAAAAGTGAGACATCCTAGGACATTAATTTATATTCATCTGTAATGTATAATCTTTTTAATTTATATTCGTCTGTAATGTATAATTTTTTTAATTTATCAATTAATTGGAAGCTACATTTTATGTAACTATCCGCCTTAGGAATAGTCTTGAATAATATATTGTGCAAATATGTAACTAATGCGTATAATGGATTGTCTATCGATGAAACAATAATTCTGAGAGGACAACCCGAATAATTTGTGAATCTTCGGCAATCCATAGACTCTCGGAAATAATATCAAGTTCTACATCAAGACTCACCCGAGCTGTGATTATAGTGAATATGCGAACATTTTCGATAATTAATTTTGTACAGCGATTTTTATGATAAGTTAATGTCTGAAGAGGACTCAATCCGGTAGCCAAAACTTGTAATTTATTTGAATTTAAACTGAGTTTTTTAATTATATTTTTTCAATTTTACTTTTCTTTATTTGTAATTTATCTTATTTATATTATTTCTTTTTAATTGTATGACAATTTAAAAAATGTGTTTGACTCTTACTTTGCCTTTTATTTATTGTTCTTTATTTTGTATAGGAAGAGTCCTTCAATCTGATAAATAAATTTTTTTAAAATTATTTTTGAAATTTAGAATTCACAAACTTGTTTATCATAATGGAAGTAATTATCAACCCGTGTGTTACGTTGTAATTATCAACGTAACGATGTGTGTTAAGATAAGTCTTACAGATAAGACTTAATACTTCAATATGCGTCTAATTTAAAATGATTACTGCTAATAATTTCGAATAGTTATATATACTGAATAGTTAAGATGTTACTTATATACTATTTCATGATTTTTTTGAAACAATTATAAATACTTATATTAATAATTAATAAAAACAAAAAATGAATTCCTTTAGCATCGTTGATATAGTTACAGTTCATACAAATAAGTATCATGTGATATATACATGTATATATT